GTTTCCACTTGGAAGTATAGGTGCTAATATATTTTCAAGCGAAAATAGTCTTCTAAGTGAAGATCCATCAGTTTTACTGAAATTGTAATAATTAATACATCATATGAAAATGGGGCAAGTGTATTGGGTTGCCATCTATAAAAAGGCTACTTAGTTTAAAAAGTCAGTACAACATCTGGATTCTTATGAGATATCATACTGGCTTCTTAAACTAAGTAGACAGAACAACAGTTTGAGTATCAAGTAGATAAATGTCGAGAAGCTTTCATTTGAAAATATAGGCACCAATATGTTTCCCAGTGAGAAAAACTCTCCAACTAAAAATCCTCAAGTATTACAGAAGTTGTAATGATAAATACATCACATAGAGATAGGATAATCGTTTGGGTTGTCATCTATAAAAAAAAAATTATTGTCCTGACTTCTTAAACTAGGCAGACAGTACAACATTTTGAGCCTGGTATCAAGTAGACAATTGTCGATGAGAGGTATCATCTTTTAGTTTGGACATATAGGTAGTGATGTGTTTCCAAGTGAAAATCTACCAGTATTACAGAAGTCGACTAGTTTTTTTATAGATGACAACCGTTTGGGTTGAAATGTTGTTCTGACTTATTAAACTTGATAGCTTTTTTATAAGTCCAACTCAGAACGGGTGTCCTATATCTATTAGTGCTATAGGCATGAAAAATCTAATTTTTCAAAATTTGATGAATTTTTAAAATTAAACTACTTGTCGTAGGACCGTAATATGTCAGTATGTTCTATGAGATTATGAAATCTATCGTCAAAAAAATTCATAAAAATCGACTTTTTTTTTCAACAGTTAATCACAAGAAAATGGCTTGGACAATCTTTACCTAAGACTATTTTTGTTAAATTCTGATTGTTGCTAAATATATATTTAAATTCATTCTAAGTTACTTATAGTTTCCCAAGTAATTCTTCTGAATTAAAACTAGTATCTATTTACAAATCTTAAGTCAGCGATTCTAAATAATCAATATTCAAATAATTATTTTATTTTATACAATAATGTATCTGTTAATCTGTCTATTATCTTAAACACCATTCAGATGAAAAGTGTCGAAGAATCAGTTGATAATTTTTTTCTGCTTATTCCGTAATAATAAAAATCGCAATCGTGAAGGTAATAAAAAGCCATGTTAAATAAAATTTGATTTATCGGAAGACAAAGAAAATCGTATTACTCTTTTATGAGATTCTCAGTTAGAGACATCGTTTTTGCAATAAAACGTTTGAAGATTCTGTTATACAGGACTTTTACACGATAAAAAATTAAATATATTTTTATTGAGAATAATCTTATGATGTGTATAGTGGTATAACTTCTACGATTTTTTTTACAAATTGTCTATTACACATTATACAAAATTGCAAAATTAGTCTGAAAGGTGTTTTTATCGTATAAAAATGTTTTTTATGAATGACGTGAAATTTTTAATTTTGTCCTATAATAAATATGGTGTTTGATTTAAGAATTTATATATTTTTGAAACTAGTATATTGGCAAATAATGAGACTATGAAATATCTAACTACGTGATGAAAAATTATTAATTAGCAATACTCGAAGATATTTTTGTTGTTTTTTAACGCAAGAACCAGTTCTATTGTGGTCCAGCGCGCATGGTATTAAAATCGTTCTTTTTATTTTAGAGGAGGAATTAAAAATATTCACATCAATAATCCATTTTTTCTGAGTATGGCATAGCGTCGTATTAGCTTAAATATTTCATCATCTCAATTCAGAGCACGTCACATACAAGTACTTCTAAAATCCTCCGACTTTTTTACGACGAGCGTCACCTTCTTACCAATTCTTTCTCAGCCTTAAAAAAATACTTTTTACGATCCTCCATGCGGAAAGGAGATAAATATGTGTTTTACCAAACAATCGGACGGTAATGTATTTCATGGGTTTTAATCCATCTTTTTATAACAGAGATAAGTGTTTGTTTTTCTCCTAAATGAAGGATACACTATAGCACTAATTGTAGAAACTATGAGTGGAAATGTGGCCCATTTTGCTACTAACAATTCCCTATCAAAGTTGTGCATTAGTTTCATCTTTATTGTAAAAAATCCATTGCATAAAAATAAGAAATATACTGTATTTTTTCTTGAAAATTTATATTAGTCATTCTATGTGATATCCGCCTAAATTACCTGGTTTATCTGAAACAACTGGATGATCAGATTCATATCGTATAATTATAGAAAAATCATATGTGAAACGAACTCGTATATCAATATTTAAATAACTTGTTCACATCTTGACTATCTATATCTCTAATTGCATGATTTTTTATAAAGGATATCCTTCAATTAAAAATTTTCATTTGCATCCTTTATATGCATTTATTGCATATGCAATTGAAAAAAAGATTGTTTCTGTATTTTTTTCTATTTTTTTAAAAAATGCTGTAAAATATAAGTACTCATGAAAATTTTTGGATCTATCGTAAGCTATATTTTTTTAAAAATAAATTTAAGAAATAAAATATCTTTGGTATTTTGAGCAATTTTTGAGATTTAATTCATTCATTTACAAGTTCTGATAATCTTGTATGATTTATAATTTGAATAATTAGTATATACAAACAGGATTAAAAAACTAAAATCTAAGTCATACGTTTAATTCTAATTCTCGATTTTCAAATAATGAGCGTTTTCATTGATAAACTAGTACAATCATCACAATTTGTATTCAATCCTCTTATATAATCTTAAAATATTTTTTACCAAAATCGATTCACACGTTTTGTAATGATATTGAAATATTTGACAACTTCATTTACAAAAACATAATTATATTCATTACATAAAATGTATTAACAAAACAAAATGATCATCTTTGTAAATGCCATGTTTTTTGTCGTTTTTTTCCCTCTCACTGATTGATTGAAAAAAATCGATTGAATCATTCTCGACCAAAAAATATAAACAAATGTATAAATGATACATTACATAGTATTGAAATACTATTATTAACCATGAATAATTATGTCTTTCATAGCATTCATAATGCCAAGGTAAAAATCATCTAATATTAATCTTATAGAAAAGCATTAAAGCGTATCAACATTAAAAATAAAGTGGATATGACGCATAGAATGAACACATATAAATTAGAATCGAATAAATTATATTAGTTTATTAATTAATAAAGTAAATGATTAACTAGACGATGAAGGATGGGTAATTATAAGTCATTGTACACATTAAGGTAATCAAGATAATACGCGCGCATAAATTAAAGAACAATGAAGATTATTATCAATTTTGTACCGTATTTATATTGTTAATACTTTAATTTGTTACGAAGACCATGATATAATTTGCGAAGGAATACAAGGAAACTTTGGATATCAACTTTTTAATCCTTAAACGTGAAGGTTATTAGTCAATATAATAATTAAATTTAATTACACATCTAATGAAAAAAACGTTTTTATATTATCTTTTTCTTTATATTGAATTCAATAGAATATATAAAAATATCAAAATGAAAAAAAAAACTAGTTGTGTATGGCATCGTGCCTTAAAGCAAATTGCTGGTACTTCCCCGAAAACGTGAACGAAAAAATGCAGACACACAAAACACACACACACCCATTAATTTTTTCTGAGGTATGCGAAAATGTTCAGAAACCTTCAAAAAGTCAAGATATGCAAAAATTTTTATTTTCGATTGTTGGCCCATTACTATAACTTACCCTACGACAAGTTAATAAAACTGGTAAATTAGTAAACGGATAAAAAAATGAGCAAACAAGAGATATTTACCTATATGATAAATATGAAAAAAAACCTTCATCAAAATATTTTTTTAAATTTTACCAAATGTTTTTAAAAAATATAATTTTGATTTTAACATTTAAGGTTTGTCAATGCTATTTATTTATATACCGATTTTCCTTAAGCAATATAATTGATTGAAAAAATCTTTATTTTTTCTGAAAAATTCTATAAAAAAAATTTGTTATGTTCAGTTGTAATTTAATCTGGATCTAGGAGTATGGTGTGGCATTGTGCTTTAAGGCAAATTGCTGGAACTTCCCCTACCAAAAATTATTTTTTTTTAAAAAAAATAATTTTTTTTTTAACTTTGAATAATTAGATTTTTAAGAAATTTTACATTTTTGAAATAAATTGATTGTTTTGTAGAAAAAACGTTTTTTGAATAATTCAATTGGTTGAGTGTTCCCGAAATCGTAGACGAGAATTTGTATCCGCACACACATCATCCATTTGTTCTAAGGTATACCAAAATGTTCAGAAACCTCTGAAACGTGAAGATATATAAAAATTTTCATTTTCGATTTTTTTGCGATTACATTAACTTACCTTACGGGAATTCACGTGTATCATACAAATAGCACAAATTATCTTAATTTTGCCAAATTGAATTAATAATTATTGAATGAATATTATGTTACAAAAATGGACTATTTCGGTCAAATTTTAACGGAAGTCCAATGGACTGAATATGGACATAAGAATGTATATCAAAACGTTTGGAAAAATTAAAGATTTTATAATTATTTTGCTTTTTGCTGATGTACTGCCCTAAAGAACTTGGCGCATATATAGTTCCAAGTTGAATTATCGCTCTTTTAGCAAAATTCCATATGATATAATAACGAATTACATTCTCCATAATTCTTATATTTCTATATAATCCATTTCAGATGACGAAAACGCAGTTGTTCATGGTTTGGTAACATCAGATGGGCTATTCGACGGCACGATCTTATTGTCTTCCGGTGAGATATTTTATATAGAGCCAGTACACAGATATCTCAACAGTTCACATGGCCTGAATGCACTCGGTATGTTTCGCAAAAATATGATTTTATATTAATATTGTTTAGCTACTTTCAGTTCACAAACATAAAACATTATGCAATGCCTAAATCTAACAAAATTACCGATTTCTTAAACTATAATTTTTAGATATTGCCGAATCAAGATTTCCAGCGCGGTTTATAGGAGTACAGATGTTAGACTTCCAAGGACTGAAAAGGGCCATGTATGTGCTTCCGAAATTTTACACCAAAAGAGACTGAATCAAAAGGTAAAAGAATTTATTCACCATCATATATAATCATAAATAAATATTCTTTATTATATTGTCTGGAAATAATTTAATTTTTATTGCAGAATCTTCCTAGTAATTTTCACCAATATAAAGAAACAGAAAAACACACCAGCAGAAAAAAACGATGGTTACCTGATGACATACATCATATTTCCACACAGGTATGAATTTATATACTGGTTTTCAGAATCTTGGTGGATGACATCATTTCTTAGAAAATTAGTTAATAGAGTTATAGTTTTTATTTAGCAAGAAGCAAATTTCATGAGGTTTCTAAGATCTCACCAAGCTTGAAAGAAATTATAGAATATATCTTGTAAAGTCCAAATATATATCTTCATACTATCCCACGCATTCAAATCATCCTTAGTTCACAAATTACAATAAATAAAAAACATATTTGTTTTGATGACTTTTTACTTTGGGAATTCACCAGTCATTTTTATCTTTGCAGCATGATGATTACCAAGAAGATGAACAGGAAAAAAAGTTATTGAACCCAGAATTGCCATTGGATTTAGATGTTCCTTACACACGAAACATTGACGAAAACGTTGACGACAAGGCAAATGCGAAAATATATGATGATAAAGTTGATAAGCAAAATCCCAAACGGCCCGATCATGTGGAGATTATTACTAAAAATAACATAGGTAAATATCTTCGAGATTATTTGATTTAGAGTTCGTTCACATTATAAATGACTTATGTCAATACTTGTTATTACGATGATTAATCGACCTGATTGTGAAATCTCTTTACTTACGTATTTGCAAAATAAAAATTCGAGGAAGTAGCAGGATTTTATTAAAATTGTAACGTGACTAAAGTTTGTCCCAAATGGAATTCAAAACAAAATCAATATCATAATTTATTAAACTTATTTAAGTTTTATCTTATTTTTAGTTAATAAAAGGCCCACAGCTACACTTGTAGGAAAGTTTTTTCCGAGTGATTTTATGGATTACAGGCAAGCAAGTAAAAGGGCAACGTTTGATCCAAATAAGACTACATGTATGCTGTATCTTCAGGTAAATTATATTTGATAATATATGTTTCATAATATGTAAATATAATTGTTCATTTATTTATTTTTCAAATTTCCAGGCCGATCATAAATTTTTAGAAAAATTTCAAACAGAAGAAGCCTGCATAGATATTATGACGCGCCATGTTCAGAGAGTTAATCAAATATATAGAAACCACAGGTTTGAGCATTTCTTCAAACTTTTAATGATCTTACAAATATTTTTTATATTATTTTGATACTATATTAATCGTGGATTTATTTACTTTATATCAGATTTCAACCAGGATGGCAAGCCAGATAATATTACGTTCATGATAAAAAGAATTAAAGTGCATACTCACGAGTCTTTAAAAGATCCTACATACCGATTTGCTGACAACTATGGCGTTGAAAAATATCTAGAACTATTTTCAGGTATCATAAAATACTAGAAAAATCACCCAAATGATTTGAATAAATATTATATTGATTTTTTTTTTATTTTCTATAGAGGAAGATTACGATTCGTTTTGTTTGGCGTACATGTTCACTTATCGAGATTTTGAGATGGGCACCTTAGGACTGGCATGGACAGGTGATCTTAAGAACGCAGGTGGTGTTTGTGAGAAAAATGGGGTCTGTATATAAGAATTTTTATTTTTATTAAACGCAAGAATAAGAATAGATTCTTATGTGATAATTTTTTTTTAGCACTATCGTGGCAGTATGAAATCTTTGAATACTGGAATTGTTACGTTGTTAAATTATGGAAAGCACGTACCACCTTCGGTTTCACACGTGACATTGGCACATGAGATTGGACATAATTTTGGATCACCGGTAAATAATCATAATTAGTCATATTTATAATTAATTTCTGAAGATTAATATTGACAGCCTAAGTGTGTTAGAATAGTGCTCAAGATATGGGAGCGTCCATAAATCCTCGAGGTTTTTAGGGGAAGGAGGGTTTTGAGAAAAAATCACGAATTTCCACGTGGAGAAGGGGAGGGGGTATAGTAAGATATCACGTGTATTTGTTTTTTACCGGATTTGGATCGTTCAAGTATTACGTAAACAGATTAAATTATTTACGTCCCCCCCATCCCCCTTGTAAACAAAGTAAGCAAGCTCTTACCTACCCCCATGCTTACGTAACATTTTGCAATTAATGTAAAAAATAAAAATACTACCTATGACGTAATCATCATCCACACTCCCTGCCCCCCATTTCAACCCCAAATAAGCAAATCAACAACCCCCCCGCCCCCTATAGAGCTTACGTAATACTTGAATGGCCCCATTTAAGAAAAAATAAAACACTTTAAAAAAAAATCAAAATTTTAAAATTTTTCTCGTAACTAAAATCACGTGATGTTTGGTGGGGAGAGAGGTAATTTTGAATATCACCACGTACCTGCAAGGGGAAGGGGGTCCAATAATCCTAAAAATTGATCAACGTGATTAATGGACGAACTGCTTGTGAGTGAAATTTGTTATACTAGAAATCTTGGATCAATTGTGTCATTATTTTGGAGTGTGGTTCTAGAAATGTTATTTAAGGTTACGGATATAAAAACGGTACCAAATAAATAGAAAATAACCACAATAACCGAAAATGTTTAGAATTTGAACAAGCTCTTGGATTTACTATTTATCTTTACTACTAACAGCTAATATTTCTCAAAATGCATTGGTTGTAATTTTGTTCATGATAGTTACAATCAATACTGTCTCCCCGGGTTGACGTTGAGTTCTGGGACACCCTGTGTATCACATAAAAGGACGTCTATTCATCACGTGAGGCTTTTAAGAGCAGGGTGGGTTTGATAAAAAGTTACAGAATGTCAGGTGGGGAAGGGAGGGGTCTAGTAAGATATAACGTGTATTCATTTTTTACCTGAATTTTCAAAAACAAAATTAAAAAAATTAAAATCTTTTCGTGAATTCGAAAAATTTGTTCGAAAATTTTTGCATGACTAAAAATGCACGTGCTATTTGGTGGGGGAGGGGGGTTAATTTTAAATATCACGACGTATTACTAAGGGGGAGGGGTGGTCCCAAAATTCCTAAAAAATCGATCACGTGATTAGTGGACGCCTCCTAACCATAATCTGCAGATATTTTTGTACCAAGTATATCTGTGTCTATTACTAAAACAATAGAACCAAATATTTTCGGTTCAGTTTATTAAATTCTTCTACCTAATTCTATTTTCCAGCATGACCCAGAACAATGTGCTCCAGCGGCCCGACGGTAACTACATAATGTTCGCCCGCGCAACATCCGGCGACAAAGCACACAACGATCGCTTTTCGTCGTGTTCCCTGAGGTCCATTGACCCTGTGCTGAACCAAAAGCACGTTCCACAAAAGGATGCTTTACAGGTTAAATAATCGTAGATTTTACAACAATCACAAGCTCGTAATAGTTTCATCTAAGCTATAAATTCTATTTCATATATTGTCTCGTTAGGAATATACCGTAACTTGGGATATATAGATCCACTTTATGTCGTTTTACGGATGGAAAACATTTATGTAACATATCGTAAATGTTTAGATACAAACTGTAAACTTGCGAACATAAAATCGAAATTGAGTCAAATATTAATTTGTTAGGTACTACAGGTTTGTGATGTTGTAGCGCATTAAAATTTCTGGCATTTTATACGGTTTTATTCAAAATTTATTTAAGTTTTATTTAAATTTAAACAAATTTGAAATTTGATGTTAAGGATTCGATATCATGATATTAAGTCAGTTATTTGTTGCAAATGACATTTGAAAAAAACTATCATCAAGCACGAGATATGAGCCAAATATTAATTTGATTGATACTACAGGTTTTGTGATATTGTCCAGCTATTTGTTGCAATTAGTTATATCTTTCCATTTATGAGAACATGTATCGCACAATTCTTTTTAGATTTGCCCAAAAACATGAAATCTAATTTTAAATTAGAATTACTCCTTACACGCCACCTACCTAATCTTAATTATTAACAATAACTAATATTCTGTTCTTGTCTGGCTGGCCGTTAATAACATAAGCCATGATATCTGATTCTTGCTTCCTTAATAAAAATTAATTAAAAGCTATAAATATTATTTCCCATAATAAAAGTCTGTTTAAGTACCAATTCTTTGTTTAACTATTCTTGTCTATTCTTTAGAATGCAACTTTATTCTCTTGAATGGATTAGCTTGTATTGCTTCCTAATAATAGTCTGTAAAATTTAATAGAATATTGATAATGATAAAATTTTCCTAATTACTTAAGCTTGGTTCTGATTGATAATGTATTTAAATTTGATAGATAGTAGGTTAAGGGGGTAT